TGTTAGACCGCAGAGATAGAGGTTCACCTTGGGATGTACAGAATGTACAACATGCAGAGTAATAGGGCTCAGTCCAGAGCGAATTCAGAGATGAGTGAGCACGAGGGCTGCAGTTCTTCTGATGTCCAGTCGTCACAGCCACTAGTATCCGGATCCAGGATCCGGATTGATTGGTAACACAAGAACATTCACCAGTGTTCTTGTGAGGCCTTTACTTGTCTTGTCGTACGTGCTTGGTATCACTAGCCAATGCACACCTTGACCTGCGTATTATGTACATGTTGTCCAGAGAGCAACAGTACAATAGCAGCCTCCTGATATATGCCATTCTTATATCTAACACTCCCACTCAGTGGTTAGGTGATACCAGATAACATACGTCCTGTTCCTGATGTTCATCTCGCGTCGTAGCCGTCCATCATGTGGCTCGTGCGGACCGTGACTTGTTTTAAACAGTTGGTTTGTAGCCAACACCCGTGTTTAATACAGCACTCGTTCTCCTTTGAAGACTTGTTGCACATCCGTGCATCCTTTGAAGAGATCCTGAATCCAGTGCTCCGCAATGAAGTGAACTCCATCTTCATGCAGCCATTCAGTCACTTAATAACGATCGTTTCTTCAGTTCGCGAAACCTGGAACCATGAGTTGCACAAACTAGTATAGAACTTAGTTCGTAGCAAACTCGCAATTCACTGGGTTTCAAGTAACCCCATATACGATCCATTCCCTTTGACGAATGACACTTTGAGTTGTCCTGAGAGATCAAACCTGATCCTTTGACAGCTAGTACTCGTGCCTTTCCAATGCACATTCCAGGGATACTAGCCAGGTGAGACCCTTGTTGTTCTTGCGAACATAAACTCCCACTGCTCGTGAGCTCGCAGCAATCCTGTGACTGCAATGCTTTCCTGTATGACTTGTGTCCGTTCTTTGCTCGACAAAGAACATACTCGTTCCCTAATCCTGATATATCTAGTGCCAGTCCCCTTTCGGTCATGTGACTCCCACTGCTCATGATGTCTCAATCGAGAATCCGTCGTAGGTTCCAACCTTTTAGACTTTCCTGTCTCCTGTCCTGATGACATAGCTCCCGCTAGAGGTCATGCTTGTCATAGCTTTCATTCATGTACCAGCCTGAAACATCTTTGCTGGGTTTCCGCATTCTCGTAGCACTATGGCTTGTAGCTCATCGTGTAGCTAAAATAGCTAGTCTCGAAGACATGTTGCTTTCCAGGCAACATGAGCTCACACAGCATAAACTGCGCTTCCTGGTAGATCTTGTAGAGTCGTCATGTTCTCGTAGCCGTAGAACATTCCTTGAGCAGACAGTTCATGTCTCGATCATCTTCCTGGCAGACAACTGCGTCTTAAGATAAGATCGTAGGATGGACAACCATGTCCATCGTCCTGGGTTTCTTGTCATCCTTACTCATCCTCCCACCTTTTTGACGGTAACGACCAAGTCAGTGTTGGCGCCAAAAATCACCAGAAGTTGGAGGCTTGAAAGCGCAAGGCATCCTCGCAGCAGCACTATCATCCTGGATAGGCAGCACTTGTTGGAGACTGTATTACAAGAAATAGTGTAAACAGTTCCATTGCATCAACGCTTATAACATGAAGACGTGATTTCCTTGTACTGGACTTCGTAGTACACCAGTAGACAGCAGTGTGCCTAGTCCTGTTGAAGTTCACAATAGCCTATCCATTAAAGGCCGAGAGGGCTCCTGAATCATGAAGGATATATTCCCCTTTCCTGTCGATGCATCGCTGTCGATATCATCGTGTCCGACCTGGACCGTGTGATGGTAGTGGGTTCAGTGATCGAGGGTTGGCGCGCGCCCTGTAGCCTGTAACCTGTTCCTGAGTTCAAAACTCCTCGTCGACCGCACTAGTCTGTGTTTCCTTGTAGTGTTCAAGACCATAGAATATATTGATGCGTCCATCTCAATTCGAGGTTCCTTAATCACTAGCTCTCGTGCCTTGGAGTAGCTCCACATCATGTTGGAGTACGGGGGGAGCTAGATACTAGCAGAAGAGCCTAATAGCACCTTGTGTGTCCCCGCCGCTCGTCAGATACTGTGTCCTGCTGACGAAGTACTTGTAGTCTCGCGTTGACTAATGCATGTTCCTTTTCCTGGCAACTCATCCTTGCATGTAAGAGTTGTACAGGTCCTGTAGTGGAGAGTAAACCTCGACTCCCACCATCACTGTACTGGGTACTAGTAGTCTTGATACACCATCAACTAGTCTGTCATTCTCACTTCCTCGATTCGCCACCGCCCGGTGCCTCGTAGGTGCACGGTATGGGAAGTAGACTTTCCAGAAATCGTTGGATTGAAAGTCCAGTTAAAGAAGCTAGACTAGACTTGTCCTGTGGTTGATGTCTTCTTGTGTGCGCGATAAGACGAGCTGAGTCGTCTCCCACCGCTCCCGTAAATTCCCAGTCGATCCTGTCCTTGGGATCCTTGGTCTTTGTATGGGCTTGACGACAGTCACTATGGTCGCAATCCAAATAGGCGCATGTGCATACAGACATAGTCGAGATAGACACTTTGTACTTGAGTATAGATACACATAACTCGTACTCCTGTTGCCGCACTGCACATCCTGTTGGTCCTGAAGACACCTCATGTGTGCTCGCTAGAGCCATGTAGAGCTTCCGCAATTGTCTTCGCAGAGCTTGCTAGAAGGTTGGGATAGAAGGCCACACGACTGCATTCCTGCATCGCTGGCTATCACCAACTCCCACCGACTCGGTAGTCAGTTCAACTTCCGTCGCACCCACCGCGGTCAAAGCGCGTAGATGAATTGGCTTCCTCGGATCCCACCGTGGCCGAGGACTCCGAGTCGCAAGGTCACATCCGTTGGTACTGTGTGAGGAAGGTCTTGATATCCTGAGAAGCATCTAGTACCGCATACAGTTGTACGGTTCTGCTGGAAGAGACTTGTCCACACAAAAGAGCACGATTATACGTTTCGCGTTAGTGTCCTTTGTGATAA